CGGGGCTTGTTGCACAGACTCAGAAAGGAGGAGGTGCAAATGGAGATGAAGAGGAAAGCAGAGGAAGAGAGATGGAGGAGGAGGAGGAGGGCGTGCATTTCAAAGCAGCACCAGCTGGGAACAGAAGGTTAGGCTGCGGTGGCGTCTCCGTAAGTAGGACAAACTGTTTCGGCATAGGAGAAAATCCTTTTGTACCAAATCAGTTCTTTCACGCCAATTGTGTCAAAATCACAAATGTCTGCAGGCTGGATCCAGTGAGGACTATCTATTTGTCATGAAATACTGCCCCCCACCCCCCTCATAAAAGAAAATTGGGACAAAATATCTTGCTTTGCAATCACGTCCGGTGGAAATTAATCCCTCTGCAGCGCCAGTGTCAAATAACAACACATGTTCTTATTTTTCAGGCTTTTAAATAGCATGAAGGGTTTGCTGAAGGTCACAATTAGCACAGCAGTAGAACATTTATAAGAACCAAATAAATGAGTTAATCTAACTAAACTGAAGTCAAGATGAAATAATCTCTAACAAAAAAGTGTTTTTAAAGAAATTAGGGACCACCTTAAACACACTTCACCAGTGTGTTTCATTAAATTTGCAATTTCTCCATTACAAAGTATTTTTACTGTTTAAATGGTAAGTTTTCCCCCAGTCTTTCTGCGTTTATAAGAATATGGAGTAGAAAAGATCCCTGGGATTATTGAGAAATATCAGCAGCATCACAGCTTAGCAGGGAGCAGTGCGGATTAAAAGCAATGTCTTTATATGAATATCTAGCAATAAAACAGAACTCTATGAAACACACATCAATATCAACCCACTCATATCAACCCACTTTCCTTCTCTCTTTGGCCTCAGATAAAGGAAGAGGTGATCAGTGTTGATGAATGAGATTTAGCTGAAAGCACAGAAGTATAATTTGAGCTTTCAACACAAAATAATAACTTGTGAATAACCCTGATTAATATCTTCCACACAGATCCGACGGCCAGGCTTGCTCCACTTCCTCAGTCACCTTCTAGAAGCCATCACTGGAAAGCAGCACTTCAAAATATCAGGAAAACTCAGTAAAGAACAGTAAAGACACTGAATAAGGACATTACAGTGTACCAATACCACCTCTGTGATTTTCTCCTACAGAATTACAGTTAAATGAGGTCACATCCCATTCATTACACACACATACACAGCTGCACTATGAACACATAAAACCACACAAGCAGTCAGAAATGTTCCTGTAAACTGTGGTCATGTGACTTCAGTTATCGAATCATTATGACCATTATAACTAGCACGGGGTGTAAATGCTCTGCACTGCTGCTCTTTCTCTATATTACATAATAACTGTTCCAGTACAGTTTAACTTCAGGTTCCTGCACAGGAGGCTTTATGCATGCTCTCCTCATTTACATAAAACACCTAAATCTACAGCTGAAATTATTAGAAAATGTATCAATTAGTTATTCTACAGGCAATAACAATGCAAAAAAAAAAATTACTGAGTATCTACATATACCCAGGTAAACAAGATGGCAAAAAAAAGTCCACTCAAAGAACTCAGGACACAGTTTCATACCGAAGTCCTTACTGCAAAGGCCAGGCAATTACCTGCGTGTCACTCACTCTCTCGCTCCTATCCACTCTACACTTCCCTAAGTAACAAAGGCACAAAATGCTAAAAAATGTAATAATAATAGTAATAAAAAGAATAATCTTACAGCAGTAGGGGTTTAATAGCTTCAGGGCTGAAAAACTACGATAGTCAGAGAGAAAATAAAAAGGTCAGAACGTCAGGAGAATTGTTCTTTTCTCTCACCAAAAGATCATCTATCGTCTCACACAGTCTCTGACACCCTCCCCTCAGTGGGCACCATCACTTCAGCATTACACTGGTCAGCACATGCTTGTGACTTTGCATGTATGTGAGTGTGTTCATTTACTGACCTGTCAGGTGGTTTCTGACCATCTCAGAGGTCTGCAGAGCGGGAACTGGATTCAGCTTCTCACCTGCAGCATAAACACACACAGAGCGGTGAAAACGGGGTTCGTGCGAGCAACATGTTCCGCTTTAAAGGCTTAAATAAGGACAATGCACTGCAAGCATGATGCGCAATTGGAAACGCTGCCAACTGCAACATTTCCACAGTGACATTAATAAATCAACTCAACGGATGAGTCACCAGATGAGAACGGCACCCCCCTTTCCCCAGACTGCTGAGGGAAGGAGGTGCAACTAGGGCAAAGACAAGTAGCGGTGGTGTATCTGTCTGTGAGTTTGTGTGTGAGGAAATGGCACAGACTGACACTGACTGCAGCCAGAGGGAGTACATCAAAAAAGACTGATAGAGAGGGAGGCCTGCGGGTGAAAGGAAAAGCTCGGGGAACAGATGATCCCCCGAGTGCTCTTGTTTCAGGCCCAAACCTCTGGGGAAGAGGATGCTGGGGAAGGGCAGCAGGAATGTAATGATGCATTGAGAGTGGGGGGGTGGGGGTTGGGATATTGGAGCCGCATTGTCCAATCTCTATCGTAAAGCCACACCCCAGCAGGGGTCCCTGCCAGAGGAGGCAGCCTGGTATCCTGGGGCAAATAGAGGCAGAGGCGTCCAAACACTGCCTATAAATGGCGTGTAATGACAGTGAAATGAGTCACGGTGCAGATGGCTGTGGATGTAAGCTCTGACATTAGGGAACGGTGAGTGTGTACTACTGGATTTGTTAAAACTGCACTTTTGTGATGCACGGTTTAATAAGTGATATGTCAAGCAGTCATCCCGCCCCCGACGGGAGAGAGAAAGTGAAAGGTATTCTTGCTGTGCTGGTAAAGATACACAAGAGTTCTGGTTAAATATTGACAAAAAGGGACTTTCAAGTATCAACGGGGGGCTGGAATAAAATTTTGGCTCTGTTTGTTTAGCGGGGACAACAAACTCTGCTCTAAAGCTGAAACTGAATTACAAAAACACGCCAGAAAGATCCCGAAACAGAAAGTCTTAAATCCGCTGCTTCAGTTGAGTTTAAGACATGTCTTCTATAAAATCCTCTAGTAAATAATGGTAAAAAATATAAGTTGAAATGTCTTTTCCCACAAAAACACAACCTACACTTTTGGAGCTTTATAATAAATACAGTTATAAAGTCATAGCATGATTACAGCCATTGAAAGCCTCTGTGTCTGTTTGAGCAGTGATATGTTCCCGTAGATTTATTGAGACATAAATTCAAATTGCTT